ATTTCTCATTGATTTTACATCAAGATCCATAAGTTATGTTATCGATGTCTTGAGATGAGCTAATCGAACTGCCATCCTTGACGTCAACCATCCCTCGTAAAATAGATCCATCGGTATAACTAAAGGAACTGAGCAATAGGCACAAACACGGTAATATGCCCGCATCATGCATCATCGCTATTTTTTCCTCTAGTTAAATTAAAATAACATATCATTAAATTTTGAAAATTAACAAAATAATCCATAAACTTTAGATTTTGGCACCTTTTAGTCCTCTCCTAACTTTTTATTTACAGAAATTAACTCATCCTTTTAGATTGGAAAATGATTTGAAGATAACTTTTTCATTTCATATTTTTATATTAAAAAATAAGTATCAACTTGTATTACAAAAAATTAACTAAAAAAGTATTTTAAAATTTTATTATTTGAATAAAATTTTATTTAAAAATAATAAAATATCCTAATTATTTTTAATGTAGGAATAAGATATTTTAATTTTTTTATAGTATTTTATTAAAAAGATATAGTTTTAAAATATTTTTTTACTTAATTTTTTACAAATCTGGTTAATAAACATTAATACTTTATTATATAACTTTATATGCTATTTATATAATTAATTTTTTTTATTTATTTAAAACTCATAATATTAAGTATTTATACTTATTTAATAATATATAAAATTTATATAAAAAATTATTTATGTATCACTGTACTTTTAAATTAGTGATGAGACACTTTTCAGCTGATGTAGAAATACTTTTTGCTGACATGGACAATTTTCCTTATCCATATCATTCCTCACAAGTGGGACCTCCAAATTTAAATTTTGTGGATTATATTATTTCTCAATAAATAGTAATTATTATTCCAAAGAGATGGTTTAATAATTAAAAATTTAATATTTTAAGTTAAAAATTTTAAATTTAAATTTTCAATTTAGTGAAGAGGAATTTAAGAAAAATAAAGAATTATTTCTTTTTGTGTAACTCATCATCATAAGATATATAAAAAAAATGAATAGTAATTATCTTATATGTTTGGATGATTATTTTTTGAGCTTAAATGATTTTTATTAATAAACACTAATTAATTTTAATTAAAAATTTACCAACAACTTAAGTAATTTAGTATTAATCTCCTTTCAAGTAGAAGTACGAGATCATAAATTCAAATTGTGCATTATGTAAGTGAGGTGAATTAAGGGATGAAACATAATTGTTCTATGATACAATTCAAGATCAAAAAAAAATTTTAAAAATTACGTTAATGATTTAAAAAAATTAATAATAATTTTAAAAAAATAAAAAATTTTAAAATTGAATCGTATGGTATGTAATTTTGTTATTTACTTAATCATTTCCCTGTTGAGTTTTAAATTAATTGGTGGTGCGAAAACTACAGGATTCAGATGGGAATTGGCAGGTTGGAGCCATGGCGACCTTTAATTGACAGCGTAGCAGGCGCCGCCGTTCACACCACCACAGTTGGCCATCTCAATGTTACCCTCGACTTCACCATTTCATACCATCCAACCGCCAAGATTCAGGTCAGTACAGTACTCTCCCAGTTTGTGGACATATAGATTTTTTTTTATATAGGAAAAAGAGATAGTATTAAATAAATAAAATTAAAATTATATATAAATCTCTATATTACAATATGTATAGTTAAGGTAAAAACATATCATATAATACTAAATATTTAAACTATATTTATGACAAATATAAATAATTAAGTATGAAAAATCATATGAATCTAGAGATTATATTAATGCATAAACAAAACTACTAATGTAGAAATCTTATGAGTATCTTGTGTACAAAACATTCTCAATTGCTATGCTAGTTTCTTGAAGAGAGCAGGTACTTAAGCTATCAACAGTCCTCTTCCATTGATAGGCCTATCATATTGAATCGTAACAACCATATGCTTTTGGATCCAATGGTAAAAGAAGTAGTAAAAAAAAGATAAAGAAAGAGACTTCATAAGAAAAGAAGGAACTCAAAAGAGGGGCTTATCACATGGTTAGGTTTTTTCTCATATCGTGAATAAGAGAAAGTAAGAGGAGGAATTTTTTCCTTTTTTTTTTTTTTTTAATTCGTGGACATATTCTAAATAAACATGCAGCCTTGTAATAAAGTTGATTTGATACTGGTAAAATTTCAAATTTAGTTTTTAAATTTATAATTTTAAGTAATTTTAGCCCTTAATTAATTTTCTTTTATACTTTTTTCATCTCTCCATTATAAAAAATAAGCGTTCTGTTTGTCCTTCTATTAGTTTTGTCTATTAAATTTGTCCAGCTAACATTTTTTTAAATTTCCTTTAATTCTTTAAAGACCTAAATATGCATAAAAAAGTTTAGGCATTGAAATGTGTAACAAATATTAGTTTAGGGGTATAAAAATTATGCATAAAACAAAAAGTCTAGAAACCAAAACAGACAAAATAGATAAAATGACCAAAAAAAAAAGTATTTTTCATAATTGAGAGAAAAAAGTAAAAAATATATATATATTTAGAAACTGGTGGCCTCTAACTTTCTTACTCTAGGGTTAGGGTTTTTTTTTTTTTTTTCCTATTTTTTTAATTTGTGGACAT